CAGATCAAACCAGTCTACGAAATTGCCAGTAAGCTTATCAGACGCCTCGTCTCAAAGTACCGTGCGCACGATGCATATTTGATGAGTGTAGACTCATACAAATTGTCTTCCCCTAAACGGTGCGAGGTTTCACATTGTGCTAATAAAAGTTGGAGCTATCTGCGACTATCGAAAGTCCATGCATATACCCATCGCGATTGATGTGTCCCTCGGCATTTCCAAACCTACTTCTGAAACCGGAATTCGTTCTTCGGCTTTCCTCTAACTCCCACATCGATGCGATAAAGTCGTCCGCCATAACGGACAGACTCTGGGAACAGGTCATCGTTGACATCGTCTTTCGCCGTGGTGACAAAGAGTTCTGTTCCTACGAAGGTCGGACAGGTGATGTTCCTGGTTGGGAACGAGATCTCGCCAATAAGCTTACCCTCGGGGGAGATGCGGATGATCTTCCCGCCCCCGTAAATTGCGCTCCAGATGCATCCTTCCTCGTCGATGGCGAAACCATCGGGTTCCATAGGCTCGCCGACATCGTAATGCACTCTGCGGTTACTGATGGTGCCCGTGCTGGCGTCAAAATCAAAGGCGAAGATCTTCGCTGTGGGCGAATCGGTAAAGTACATGGTGTCGTCTCTGGGGTTCCAACCAATCCCGTTGGGAATGGACACCCCTTCAACCATGTGATGCACCTGCAGGTCGGGGTCCAGCCTGAACAACACGCCCTCGTTGGTTGGTCTCTGGACTTTGGGATCATTCATGGATCCGGCCCAAAATCGCCCATGACTGTCGACGGCTCCGTCATTGAAACGCATTCTGTTTCAGAAAGCATTCCGGACGAGTCAACTTTTATGCCCAAAGATACATTTCCTCAGATGATCCAGACTCACCGATGGGCTTTCTCCGGGTCCTTCTGGTCATCCCAGACTTTGCGGATATACGACAGCTCCCCAGTGTTGCGGTCAGCCAGGGCATATCCGTGCTTTGCGGCTACGACTATTTTATCATTGTGATCATCACCGCCATTCGCAATATTGGCGGTGACTCTGCATGTCTCGCTCAGCAAATCAGCTATCAGGGTTATTTAGAAGCTTAGACCTACCCAAGAGGAGAAGCTGTGTCGATTGTTTTCAGGGACTCCGGACCCTTGGCCAAATCCAGAACGTACAACTTCTGATCCCAGATGTCGACAAAGCGAAACTCGTTTCTGGCCTCGTCGTGAAATGGGCCCTCGAGCAGGGTACCTGCTATATCGATGTATGGCTAGCGACAAGAAATGGTGAGATTGCACCCTTCGTCTACAACTGATGCGCTGTACACAACAGCTACAGCGGTGGTGTTTGAGATCCATACCTCAGTAACAGTCCACTTCTGAAATCCGGCCATGATGAGGCTTGGCCGTCGACTGGTGTTTTCGTATACTGTTCCGGGCAACTGACAGACCAGCCAACCAAGTCGAAAAGTTTGCCTTGTGCGTGTGCCAAAGGATGATCTCTGCGGATCCGGCAAGGTCAAGTTGCGGTCAGGATGATGACGGTGGAAATCCAACGGAACAACTCTAAGTCTGACTTTAGGAGCTCTAGCTGCTACTAATGATCATCGACGGTCATCGACAAAATGAGCAATGGTGATGGTGAAGTATTGAGCTCAAATTCAATAGTCCTGTGACCAGCTACGTGGGATGTCAATGCCAAGACAAACCCCCACAATCCGATCTCTCTATTTATCCACTGCCTTTATCCATCACGTCCACTTTGCAGAGCTCACTCGGCCCATTCTCCGTAGGCTCCGTACTCTGTTCGCTCTAGGTAAGGTACGGAGTAGAAGACTGTCAGTGGGCCAGCAGACTCAATAGTCTGGACTGCAGGGCGACAATCTCTGTCAATCTGTCTTGGCTCCACTCCGGTAGGCTGCAGGTACGTGACGAAAATCATCCGAATTCTCACAGACTTCAGTCACTGCTTGTTGGATGGTTGAGAACGATTTGGAAACTTCTTGACTGATACTCCGTCCTGGTATCGCTAACGCGGGATAGCGTACCAGCTAAACCTCGCTTCCAGGGCGATGAAACCCTGCCTCTCCATGATGGGAAGTCGGGAACTTGATCCTTCAGGCACAGGCACCAATCAACTGGAACGGCATTGAGACCGTTGCTACCTGAGCCCAGTTTATTCCATAGGATAATACTGGCAAGTCCTCATGAGTCTCAATTGAAACCGCAACGCATGCCCCTGAAAATGTGAGCTATCAGCTGTCATACGATAAGAATAAACACCCTTCCTCAGCGATGGCAAAGTTTGATTGATAATGTGTCACTTTTTTCCTCGAATCATTTGCTCTCTGGTTCCAAAGGCTTTTAACGACCGTATTAATGGGCTGCGTACGCCACATGGCGTATAAACTTCCCAAGGAGGTAGCTGTTTAGCCACGGTTGCCGGGGTAAGGCAAACTTCCCGCCTTGCGCCTCCTTTGGTCCAAGATCCAATTCCAGACCAGGAGTGAACTCATCGCAGTGGAGAAACGGAGAAAAGTATCCTAACCAAGGAATTGGGGCCATCCAAGCAAATAGGAAGTGATCCGATCGACATTATGGGGCCAGCCATCCCGTCCAATGTCAACTATCGCTTGTGTAGGGTGACACCCGATAGTTTAGTGGTAAGTGATAGACATCATTGAAATGAGAGACAACAGCTAGCGAATCCTGGAACATTTCTGGCCTCTCGCTCCAGTTTCTGGCCCATGACATCGGATACAGAGCATCCATTCATGGTTCAGGCTCGCGGACTTTTCAACGCCGGTTCGCCGGCTTGCTTATTTGTTTTCAACTCGATTGCGCGGGCGTCAAGCATCTGACGCACAGCCGTTGCGAGGACATGCCACTCTGCATTATTCGCAGCATTGATCACCAGTTCTTGCGCCTCGGGGCGGCCTGTGTGCCGCTCCTGCATGAAATTGTCGGAGATAGATCAGAAATGAAGCCTCGGCGTGTTCGATCTTTATTAGCAGTCACCACCACGAAGGATTCGAAGGATTTCGAATGAAGCTGAGCACCGCTTTTTACAAGTAACTACCGTGTATCGCCGATCCAGGTAATCTAATAAACATTCGCGAGTTACGTACCGACCTTCAGCCAGCTAATTCAAGCGGTCTGGCTGTAGTCTGGTTATGGGCGTCACTGTCTAACTTATGGATTAGGGGGCAATCGACGTCATCTATTCTAATGAACGCATACTCTGTACAGGTTAGCTTCCCGAAGCTGACTCGTCTTTCTGTCTGTTTCGACGATCATCAACGGGCTTGAAGATCGTACACTGGATGTCCGTTCAATCCAACGTCATGCATTGCTCGACGTCCAACCACTCCTTGCGCTGTAGATACTCCGCAATTAAAAGTTTTATTTACTCCTTGAAAGTAAACATTAATGAAAATGGAATGGCTGCGTATGATCCGTCCAGCAACCTTATGCAGTGGCACTGGCCGCGCTGCCTTGACCGGCCCAACGTCCAAGCTGCATAAGTCGTGCAACCGAGTGACGGGTCAGAGGAGAGGACGCATGTCTGATCGTCTGGAACAGTGGGACTAGGCAGCTGTCGCTGCCTGACAGTGACCGGCAATCTTAACTTGGGGAAGAAAATGTTGATCCACCACCGACCGCTGCATGAGGCGGTCGAGATTCGACACCGCACATATGAAAATGCGGTGAAGCTGTCAAGTGTCAAAGACAGTTTCAGGGCTCCGACCGTTGAGATGGAGACTGGGAGGTCATATTGACTGATCAAGTCTTATACTCCGTAAATATTGACACTCGACAGACACTCTGGTGAAGTGGTGATGTAGCAAGGAAGGGTAGGTACATTGTCAGCTTGGGTTTGGAATAACAGCCAGCCATGCTTCAATTCACATGATTGATTCTTCATGCAACTGCAAGAAAGGAGCAGAGCCGAACACCTCCAGTTAGGTTAACTTTGCAGAGAGTGTGATGCGTTGGCATGCAGCTACTGTAGCTAGCTGATTGTCTGCGCTTACCAGTTGGTACTGGTGTGTATCGTAACTTACGAATACCAGTAAGGTACATTTGTTAGGAAGGTACATCCTACGGAATAAATCGACCTCTCCAGTTGGTAAGCAATTGGGCAATAGTTGTAAATAGCGACACCAGATCTACCAGACCACACGGGTTAGTAAGAGCTACGGCTACGCAAAGTATACCTTTTCGAGTATGGGTATTGTATCTCAAGCCAGGAGCACAGCCGACAATAACATCCAGGACGGGGACCTACTACCTATATGGGTAACTACCCATGCTAGTACAAGCTGCAGGTGCACTGCGCTGCGCTGCCTTGCATTCAAACCCTGCATCACATCGCATCGCACCGCATCCCAAGGCAAGGACACCAATAGCGAGTAGCGACTTGCCACGACAGGTAGAGGACCGTGGGTACGGAGTACACTGTCCTCCAACCGGATCGAGGAAAGAGGGAAATTCCACCCGCCTCATTTGCCTATTGGGCTCTGATGGGAATATACTGGACGTACAGAGTAATGCGGAGTATCCAATGGTGGTTGCAATTGGGTCATCTCATTTGGATTCCGTGCATATGTGCTACCTACGTTGTATGGAGGTCAGTTGGGCGTTGGCTGGGTACGAGGGCACAAGGGATATTTGGGTATCCGCTGTAAATAAATGTAAATGTGGGTTGAAGGGGATGGGATGCAGGTGCCTTGCGTTTGTTGGAGACTGGGCGGGTTGGTAGACATAGGAAATGTGGTTCGAGGAAAGTTGCCTTGTTGCTGCTGTTGAGTTTGTTCTGCAGACGCTGCTAGCTGCTTATGGGACGTGAAGAGCTTTGTATGGGATCTGATGACCAGGTATCAGTGCCCCTATGTGAAAGGCTGGATAAAAGGAGTCAAATTGCAACAGGTAGAAGTCGGTGCATTTCGCCAGGAGCTACTCCGTACATAAAATCATTTTTGGTGGCTAAGATTCGTTGCTCATGTCATAACTACAGCTTGGTTCCCAGGTTGACGTGAACGGCCTTGATCTGCGTGTATGCCTCGAGACCCGCCTCGCCCAGTTCCCGACCGATACCGCTCTGCTTGACGCCGCCAAAGGGGACACGGAAGTCGCTGTCATTGCTGCTGTTGATCCAGACCATGCCGGCTTCGATCTCCGAGGCTACGCGGTGCGCCCGCTCAATGTCCTTGGTGAAGACAGCTGCACCCAGCCCGTAGGTCGTATCGTTGGCCCGAGTGATGGCCTCCTCCTCGGTCTTGAAGCTCGAGATCACCACAAATGGGCCAAAGACCTCTTCGCGGTAGATGCGCATGTCGTCCTTGACGTTGGTGAAGACGGTCGGAGCGATGAAAAAGCCTTTGCCGTCCTTGACGTTCTTGTAGGGCTCGCCGCCGGCAACAAGGGTAGCGCCCTCACTCTTCCCCGCTTCGATGTACGAGAGCACCCGCTCATACTGGGCCTTGGTGACCTGGGGTCCCTGGAAGGTGTCGTCGGCGAATGGATCGCCAACCTTGCTGGTTGTCGCCACGGCTTCCTTGAACAGAGTAACGAATCGATCATAAACCGACTCGTGAACAAGGATCCGCGACGTCGCAGTGCACACCTGTCCCTGGTTGTACATGATGCCAATGTGCGCCCACTTGGCCGACTGCTCCAGATCAGCATCGTCAAAGACCAGCAGGGGAGACTTGCCACCCGTCTCCAGGGTGATGTTTTTCATTGTGCCGGCGGCCATTTTCATGATCTCCCGACCGGTCGCGGTCGACCCGGTAAAGGCAACCTTGTCCACATCAGGGTGGTTCACAAGGGCGCCGCCCGCGACTCGACCGAATCCATTCAGAATGTTGACCACACCCGGGGGGAAGCCCGCTTCCTTGATGAGAGTGGCCAGGTAGAGAATGCTTAGGGGAGTCTGTTCCGCAGGCTTCATCACGACGGTGTTACCACACGCGAGCGCAGGGCCGAGCTTCCAAGCAGCCATGGCCAGAGGGAAGTTCCAGGGGATGATCTGACCGACCACGCCGATCGGCTGACGAAGTGTGTATGCGAATTTCGCCGGAGTGGTGCTGATCGTCTGTCCGTGGACCTTGTCGGCCCATCCGGCACAGTATCTGATGGTGTTGATGACTTCTCCGAGGTCATCGTTAAGTGCGACAGAGTATGGCTTTCCTGAATGATATCAGTAGATTTTCAACCCGATGCAAGTAAATAATAAAGGCATACCGTTATCCCAAGTCTCAATAGTCGCCAAAGTCTCCCGATGTTGCTCAACCAGATCCGCCAGCTTCAGCATCAGGATTCCCCGATCGGTAGCTGGCAACAGCTTCCAGGAAGGATCCTTAAGAGCCTTCCGGGCCGCCTTGACGGCGATATCGACATCCTCTTCCCCCGCAGCATAGACGGAAACAATCTCCGACTCGTCCCTGATCCGTCAGTAAATCTGTCGAGTTGCTGAGGGTGGGCCACAAACTTACGAAGGATTGATCGTGGCGAGCTTCTCGCCTGACTTGGACGGAACAAATTCATTGTTGATGAATAGACCAATGGGCTGCGAGTACTTGCGCCCGTTGGGAGCAGTCAGTTGAAGCACAACGTCCGACATGACGATAGGAGTGCTGTGGAAGTGTCGATGAGAGAAGGTGGGGTTGCTTGGGGTGCTAAGGATGCTGGATGGGTTTCGAAGAGGAGCAGTAGGAGGATGGAGACAGCGCAGGCGCAGTCGGAGGAGAAAAGGTGGGATGTTCATATGCAGCATTCAGAGCTTCGAGAAAGGTGCGGCGAAGAAGCAGGGTGTATTTATTTGTTGCATGCAAGAACTGACAAACCAGTGATGAACCAGACATTCAGCTTTCCCCGCCTGCCGATAACCAGCTTCCTAGGTAGATAACCGCGTAAATCTCTCTCATTCGATAAAGTCGCCGCGGCCAAGTGGGTTTCTGCTGGGCTTTTTCTGGGCCCCTCCCAGGAACTTCGGATACACTTACTCTTCCCAGGCAAACGACCCTTTGCCGGAGTTACCTTCAAAGTCTGGATTCCTTCTTCTGATATATTGCCGCATGTCTCAGGTTCTACCTGGCTTACGGAATGATACAATAATATGCCCATGATGCGAACCTGTCGCATTCAGTACTAAAAGATAATGACCTATGAAATATACAAATGAAACATCCCAATGACCAATGCACCCTTGGTTTATAACAGTGAGCCAACACAATTTCAAATACATACTCTTTATCGTTTCCTACTCTGTGGACTCCGATGACTCGCCCGCCAACCCCAGAATGAATTTCCATTGTGCCGGCGTCACGGAGGAAACGCTGAGTCGAGTCTGCTTCAGGACCTGTAGATCCTCGAGAGGACCGCCGGGCTTACCGTGAGCCTTGAGCTCATTGAGTGTAACCATTTTCTTGAATTTGCGACGGAACTCGACGTGAACGACTTCCCATTTCGGGTTGTCTCTCTTCGACTTTGGGTCGTAGTACGGGTGAGCAGGGTCGAATGCAGACTCTGTATGATGTACCAAAGTACACGTTAGTTATCGGGCTCAAACGCATGACTCGAGTCGAAGACAAACCATCTGGTGTGTGCTCCTGGACGATCTCCATCATGCCTACGACTCCAGGCACTTTGCAGTTGGAGTGGTAGAAAAAGGCGTAGTCGCCCTTCTTCATCGCCCGAATGTGGTTCCGTGCTATCGTTCTGTAAGCCTGCTATTCTGTGATGGCCATTCCTTCATACACCCTTACCAACGGGGTTGCGAACGCCTGAAGAAGAGTAAAAGTCAACTCCGATCCGTCATTGCATTGTATTAAAGGGGTCCAGGACCCAGAGACTTACCATCCCACGGCTCTGGCTTCTCAGCCGCCTGCAGATCGTCAATGGAAAACTTGACATCAACTCCTTTTTCCATGCGCGACTCAGGCTCTGCCTTCATCAACCAATATGACCGGTCACTCTCCTCATCTGCAACTTTCGACTCTTCCGATTCTGAATGTATCGGTTGTGATGGTGTCTCGGTTCCATTCTGTACGGGCGTTTTTCTGGGTCTCCCGACTGGCCGCTTCGGGCCCTGGGGAGTTTCGGGTGCCGAATTGGGGGCTTCAGGCGCGGTTAGTCTCACAAAAGAATCTCAATGCAGCCGGCGCGTCCAATCGATCGTTCCGTTCGGGCATCTTACGTCTGATGGTCCCGTCCTTGCGGGGCCGGCCTCGGCCTCTTTTGGGTCCCGGAGGAGGTGGTGGCTCCTGACCAGGCGGATACTTTCTGGGACGACCTCTTTTCCTGGGCTCGCCCGTGTAAGGATCAATTGCAGGCTATAAACAAGGAGTCAATATCAGTGCATGTTCATCCCAAGTTTTAATCGCCTCTTTCCGGTATCCTGAGTCAGCAGTCGTATTTCTATGAATAGAGACAAGAGCTAGGACTGTAGACGGGCATATCGATGGATCGATAACGATGCGTTCAAGCTGCCAAGAATCGCACATTCGCTGATTGACGGCAACTATAGCCCTCGCATGACGCGCTGGGGCAGCTTGGAATCGATGAAGAGACCGATGAAGAGGAAATCCGCATTGAAATTAGGCTTACGCACTCTCTTTGGAGAATTGCCATCGGCTGCGCCTTCGGACTTGCGCTTTCGGCCCATTTTATTTCCTTCCTGAAACTTGATGTGATGAGCTGAGAACTGTGCTCGAGGACGTCAACAGGATAAGGGGAAAGAAATATCAAAAAACAAAAGGGAGAACAGAGGATAAACCAGCCAGTCAGAAGGCAGGGAGGGGGATACTGTGACAATGGACACTAGATCAGTTTTGTGGACGCGCCGAGACGCATAACAAACAATGAGTGCGAAGCCTGTCATTGGGTGCGGGAACACCCGTGGGGAGGGGATAGGAACATGAGAGGAAGTTGATAGTGGGAGAATAGGAATGGTACTTGGCTCACCTGAAGGTATTCAACACCTTCCTTTTCTTCTAAAGGTAAGTAGAAAGGAAAGGATAGAAAATTGGGAGCCTGCTCAGGTATCGACGCCACCGGTCTGGACACAGTTTGGATGGAAGCTTTACTCGCGCCTCCTCTGAAGAGACATGGGATTGTCAGTCGAGCTTCAACGGGACGCGACGGACGGGAGCTCGGAGTGGGTCACGCTAACTTAGTCACGTGACATGCACTAACTTCTTGCGAGTCAGTCTGCAGTGTCTTATGCAGTAGTGTCTATGCAGTACTCTTGAATAGTAGCGTGTTTGACCAGAGTAATAGCTCAATGACCAGGAAAAGAAGTCGGAAAGAAAGAAAGCAAAAAGGCCCAGTCATCAAGGCTTGACGCGCTTCGCGCCAAAGTCCTTACACCGCTATGGCTATGGGGTACTGCATTAGCACCACCGCTGGAACGCCCTCTTTCTACCCGTAGTAAATCATAGCCAAGGAATACACCAAAACTAGGGGTGAGGTTTATCTCAATGACTATCTTCTTTGGGATTTCAAAATGTCCGTCAACGGATCTGAATGCATGTCTTCGGGGAGGAGGCGATCGTGTCCGTCTGGCCTAATACATCTACAACATTCCGACCTCCTCACTGGTCCACTATGTTTGATTAGCTCGATGACGGATTTATGCCTCGCAATCGCTTCCATTCTATTATCTGTGAATATTCTGTGAGCAATTGAGGACGAACTAAATCCTGAAAGGGTAGACTCGTGGAAGAAACCTCCGCATCACATGGAAGCATGCACCCGTTCGAAATGATGAACGATTTAAGGACATCGGTCATGCCTCCGAACCAGACGCACTAAAGCAGGGACCAGGCTCCAGTCTGGATTAAGCAAGTTTGGTGCTCCACATGGATCTTCCTCCACTTAGAGTAACAACTCGGGGAGGATCAGTTCGTCAGTCAGTAGTATGCCGTCAAGGGACTACCATTGTACTACTACTACAGTGGCACGTCAAATGTTTGAATCCAATGTATTTACCGCTAGCCTGATTAGGGATCCGGATAGAATCTCAACAACTAGCAGTCATAATAGTCCTATAAGCGATATTATGATGCTTTCTATGAAGCTTATAATGATCCTATCCAATACTATAGAGCCTAAATATGTATAATTGCATCTACAGTGATTACTTTTAGTACAGCGCCGTGATATTGTTAATTTGGAGAGGGTATCTTAAGATATAAATTGCGGCAGTATAGCAAGGAATTTCCTAGTTAAGCTAGCGGTAATACCACTGGATTCAAACTTTTGACCTGCCACTGTATAACTAACGACGGTTCTCTGCTTTTTGACTCAAGCCTCCGATATCCCCCAATGTATATCATTGACGTCTGATATTGCCTTCGACTACGCTGGGTCCTCACAAGAATGCATCAATAAATCCCCATCAGAAGATAGCCGTCGGGTGTCGGCTCTAGGACGGGAGAAAATTTCCGAGACGGCGAACACTCATGTGCTCTTAGGAGACAGATACTGCCGCAGAAGAGGCAGAGGTGCAGGGAGATTGCGAAGCGGCCAGGACTACTCTATCAGAGGTTGAATATGTGCATCTCAACTTCGGCACCCCATTGTCTTACCCAGTGGGCGTCTCGTCTGTGCCTCCTGGGCAGCGGGCTCCACCATCATTACGAAGCCTACCTCCTGTTTCTTTGAGGCAGGCAACCCAAGGCTGCCATACCATGATTTCCTGTTACCCGACCTGCTATGGCTGCATATGGGAGGTCGAGCAGACGACTCCATCTACTTAGTTGACGGCTAATTGGAATGCGAGTAAGGCCGGCTATGACCTGCGTATTACTCAGTTCGCATTCGGTTTTGGTATTGCGCTAAAGGTGCTGGCTATAGTCTCCGAAATCGGTTGGAGATGACTGGTATTCGTCTTGAGCGGATCGCTATTTTGATTCACATGATTTGTTCTCTGACTAGAGAAGTGGGAGGAGGACTCTAAGCTCACTCTACTGCGGTATGCTTAAATCTGATGTGGAGTCACGGAGTCCCTAGCCGGCATGCTTGTTGGCAAGGTTCTTTCAGGCGTTGGAGGAAGTAGGCTGTTAATTCTAAACTGATGCATTGTTGCTGGCCCTGCATCACGTCCATCACAGAGGACTTTTCGACCATAGTAGGACGTTTGGGAGCGATATATATCATCCGTAGAGCACAATGACCCCATTGTCCTTTTTTTTTCAGGGGCTATCATATTGTGGTGTTCGGTACGCATGAGGCAAAGCTATCCACCAAATCCGATGTGAGTTCTAGAGTGACGAAGCATGCAAAACTACCGTCAGACAGAGCGGTGTCCGTTGGCGCTCTACTTTGAGAGTCTTGAGTTTCTATCAGGAGCGGTGGACTGAGATGTCTAGTACTCCGGAGCGACGGCTCCTTTTGCCTGCGTCGAGTCCGTATTGATTCCGACCGGGTTATTTTTGCGGGTTCTGGTCTTTTGTGAACCTCAGGTTCGCTCAAGAAGAGCAAGTTAGAAAGTGTATGTCACGAATTTGATCTACGTAAATCCTAAATCCTGGGTTTATTGGAGCATCAGAGATTCTGACCATTTGACGCCAACTGCCCCTCATGGCCTATGGATCGGTGACCGAGAAGCTCTGGTGTGGGCCGCTGGTGCTCTGGATCGTCAATCTACGAAGTAAATGATCGTTGAAAGCCGTCTGCTGTTTATTGAGTGGCTGCATGATTTCTTGTCAGTAAACGCTAGGTATCACGCCGAGTCAGCATGCTCAGTATGACGGAAAGGGTTGTCCTATTGCGCCATTTTCAAAGATCCCCATAGGCTCTGTGCTGTAGTCACTGTCAGCCAAATGTCTCCTGCTAAATCGTCTTGAAGCATGATTGGCTGATGGGCCCTAAAAAGGACTGTAGGGGCTATCATAAATAATCAGACTAGGTATAGTTAATTCGACACTTGGCAAATATTTAAACTTGACGCCGAGGGACGGGAACAAAGGGAACATTTCATAGGACTGCAGAGAGTGGCCATATTCATCAAGAATAGTGCATCGGTAACAAAGAACCAAGTGAATCAGATTGCAGACAGCTAGAACCAGGTACTACGTAGGGAGGAGTCTCTTCACGTCCCAGGCACCGAGGCATCCGTACCTTGGTAGGCCTCATAACCACCGAAAACAGCAAGTGTGGGGCCGAACCCCAAGGAACAGAAAAGCACGCTAAACATCCCACCAAGAATGAGCTCATGTTGCACCAATCATACGCTTTCTGCCCTGCTAGCGGTGGTGAATTGCGTGATCGCGGAGATACAGGAGCTTCGCTGTGATTTGCCCATGGATCACTGTAAGAGGACGATCTAGAGGGGTATCATTTTGGCTGTTAGCCGTTTGGTATAGAGGAGGGGACGACTATTTCTAGCTGATAAATCTCACTCACCCTTGTCGAGTTCGTCTCTTCCCATCCTGTCTCTTGCTCTCTGCTCAATCAACCTAAGCTCTCTCTCTATATCTCCATCTTCCATTTCTTCCACACACAGTCACAATGGCCCAGGAACGTGCTGCTCCGTAAGTGTTTCTGAACAGAATTGCTACTTTTTCAAGATATTGTATTGTTAAGAATCATATACTGACATCCTCTTCTCATTCCCACAGTCTCCGTCTCGGCTCTACTGCCCCTGACTTCGAGGCTGATACCTCGAACGGTCCCATCTCGTTCCACAATTTCATTGGCGACAGCTGGGCCATCCTCTTCTCCCACCCTGTTAGTACCTCCAATCTTTCAAACCACCGCGCGCAAGTATAGTCCAAATGATGGAAAGAAACAAGGCTGATCGCGGATGGAATAGGATGACTTCACACCCGTCTGCACCACCGAGCTCGGCGCTTTCGCTAAGCTCGAGCCCGAGTTCGCTGCCCGCAACGTCAAGTTGATTGGTCTCGTAAGCTGGCTCCAAGGGCGTCCCCAGTCATGAATAGAGTCGCTGACATTCCGCTAGAGCGCCAATGGCACCGACTCCCACAAGGCCTGGATCAAGGACATTGACGAGGTCAATGGCTCCAAGCTCACCTTCCCCATCATTGCCGACCCCAGCCGCAAGGTTGCCTACCTGTACGACATGGTCGACTACCAAGACACCACCAACGTCGACGAGAAGGGCATCGCTTTCACCATCCGCTCCGTTTTCGTTATTGACCCTGCCAAGAAGATCCGTCTGATCATGTCCTACCCCGCCTCCACCGGCCGTAACACCGCCGAGGTTCTCCGTGTGGTTGATGCCCTCCAGACCACCGACAAGCACGGCGTTACCTGCCCCATCAACTGGCTCCCCGGTGACGATGTCATCATTCCCCCTCCGGTCTCCACTGAGGATGCTAAGAAGAAGTTCGGCGAGATCCGTGAGGTCAAGCCGTAAGTCCTGTCTTTCCTGGGCGCAACATGAACAAGTCATGCTAATCAAATGATATAGTTACCTCCGCTTCACCACTCTTAAGAAGTAATCTATTACTCGGTTCACTTGCCTCCTTGGAGTAGATAAAGCAGCGGCATGAAAAGCTGGGAGTTCTACCAAAAGGATTGGGATATGATGGCCATGACTTTATCAAATGATTTTGCTTCTACTTTTGATACCTCATTCAATCAAATACATACATTTGCTTAATGGACAAGCCGAACCTTTATACACAAGTATTAATCTTCACTTATCAATGCCTTTTTAGCGTATAGTCAGAGGGCGAGTTGTTCGTATTCAGTATGCGGTGTCTGAGGAAATTCGTTCGACCCATATGCTTCTAGCTCTTATGATAATAATACCCAATGCGAGAGACATCCGAGGATCTGAAATTCTAAAGGTCACATAGCAATAAATCTGTCAGATCTAACAACTGACAGTAGTACGTAAATAGACAGAAGCTAATAGCATCCCCACAATGTTCTTCAACCATGTCATTGGATCGGCCGCGGTGCCTGGCTGCCTGGACCACTTGAACGAGCGACCGCTTCGAAAGCCCGCACAACACTAAAGTACTACCGTATCACTATCGTTGGCCCCCTCTTCCTTCCACATCGCTTCTTCCTGCTGACCTGTTTTCATCTCTTTCGACTCAAAGTCCCGACCGCAACTGGATTGCAATATTTTCGACCAGCAATTTCGCCAACCTCCAGCTCTTTTTCGTATCCTTGGGGGGAGTAAGGGCGGGGAACGACCAGCCCCCGTCCCACTCACTTGCCTGCCTGTGCCCGCCCGCCCCTGATCTACGCAAAAAAAGTCCCCGGTGACGATCTGGACACCGACCGATTGTATTTTCTCTCTACCTGTGCGTGGTTTGACGTCGATTCTCCAGTTTTCCATTCGATCGCATCGAAGGACCGAAGTGTTCCAAGTGTTATGTGACCTGGTTGTTTTCGCGACTCGATGTACCACGGGCCGGAGATCCTTTTGAAATCAAAGTTTCGAGATATCTAATACCGACGGAACGAAACGACGTTAAGAGTCAAAAAGACGGAAATCAGGCAGGCCGTTTCGCTACAAGTCGGGTTCATGATGATGTCAAGAAGTCAGTCAAGTTTGGGTTACATGGATACGGGGAGGGATGAACCCTCCACGTCTGGGGCCTCTCCAGGATACCAACCGCCGCCATCTACAGCCGGTCCGATCAATCTGTCGGGCTTAGTCTGCAATGTACGCCGGACAACAGGCAGAGAACCGCACCCGCTTGTGGGAGCCACCACCACTATCCTGGGCGACAAGCTCTACGTGTTCGGAGGCCGCGTTCTATCGAAGAGTCGCCCGCAGCTGACGTCGGATCTGTATGAGCTGGACTTGATCAGGCGGCACTGGACGAAGATCGAAGCCACCGGCGATATCCCTCGTCCGCGGTATTTTCACAGCGTATGTGCTCTTGGTGATAATAAGCTGGTCTGTTATGGAGGCATGTCGCCTGCACCGAATGCGTCCAAGGAGTCTGCGAGCAATGGCGCGTCAGGGCAGGAAGCGCAGCCGGAGGTTGTGGTGATGTCTGATATACACATTTTTGACGTACCGTCTCGGACATGGACGAGAGTTCCCGCTACGGACTCACCTCAGGGTCGATACGCTCATTGCGCGACGATCCTTCCGTCGAGCGCCTTTTTCACATCCGCTAGTGCTCCACTCTCCGCTATTCATCATAACCCCGCATCGTCCAACCCCCATCAGGGCACCATTGGAGTCGACATTGATGGATTTGGCGGTGCTGAAATGGTAGTGGTAGGAGGGCAGGATAGTTCGAACCATTATATCGAGCAGATCAGTGTTTTCAACCTCCGCAGCTTGAAATGGACGAACACAAGCTCGCTGGGCAGAAGCTGCGGCGCCTATCGCAGTGTTGTTGCCCCGTTGATCGGAATGAATGTGGCAGACATCGGGTCTGCTGCCGCCGACCGGGAATCACAGGAGCCGGTGGAGGATTCGGAAGTGGAAGGGTGTCCCATGCTGATCTACTCCAACTACAACTTCCTGGATGTCAAGCTGGAGCTCCAGGTGCGCTTGCCGGACGGTCGCTTGATTGAGAAGCCAATGCAAAGTGGGGCATCGCCCCCGGGCTTGAGATTCCCCAACGGCGGCGTGATCAACGGGCATTTTGTTGTGAGCGGTACCTACTTGACCTCATCCAAACAGGAGTACGCGCTCTGGGCGCTTGACCTGAAGACTCTCACATGGGGTCGGATCGACGCCGGAGGGTCTGTCTTCGGTCATGGCAGCTGGAACCGTGGCGTGCTATGGGCGAGGCGGAATACTTTTGTGGTTCTGGGACACCGAAAGCGCAGTCTGGTCGAGGATTACAACCACCGTCGAATCAACTTCTCTCATGTCTGCATGGTCGAGTTGGAGGCCTTCGGGTTGTACAACAATCCATGCAGAACCGCGCCAACTTCCGGGTACATCTCCCACAGTGCGCCTTCAGTTCCTGCGTCTCTACAACATAAGTTGACTCAGTTGACGTCGGGTGGAAGGCCGTTCTCGCCCGCATCTGACGAGCTGGGCAAACTTGCTCAGTCTCTTCCTGAAATGGCCGACATGGAGCTTCAAGCAGCTGGCGGAGAGCGGATCCCCGTCAACTCGCGGATTCTTTCTCGGCGGTGGGGTCCTTACTTCATCCAGATTCTTCGCGAGTCATCCGACACTGGTGTTTCTGACACGGCAACCCTGCGTGGAGCGATCCCCATGTACCCCAGTCGGAACTCAAGCATCACCATTACTCCCTCAATAGGACAGAGCAGTTCCTACTCCAGTGCCACCACCCTTGTCAGCAACCACTCGAACCCTTCTAAGTCATTGTTAGCGAATCTTGAGATACCCTCTGCTCACACCTTACCCCCTACCTCTCGACCGCGTGTTTTGTACCTTCCTCACACCTTCCTCACTCTCCGAGTGCTCGTCTACTACTTGTACACCTCGTCCCTCCCTCCCGTCGGATCCTCCCTCTGCACGCCCCAAATCCTCTGCTCCCTGCTTCAACTCGCTCGCCCCTACCAGGTAGACGGCCTCCTCGAAGCGACCGTCGAGCGGCTCCACCAAATCCTCGACGGTCGCAACGCAGCCGCCGTCTTCAATGCAGCTGCCATGGCTGCCGGCGGCGGCAGAGGCACCGGCTTCACCAGCGGACCGGGCGGCACCCTCGAGGCCTTGAACGGCGCACACGCGGCCGCCAGTGAATCCGCTAGCGCCGGCGCCGGTACCACAACAGGCACCGATGCCTCGCAGAACAGCCACCTCACCTCCGACTCCTCCGACACCGAACACGGCACCACCTCCGCCCTCTCCGCCGCCAGCGGCGGCGGCGGCGGCACCAGCGGCGGCACCAGCGCGCCCTCCTCTCGCGGTATCCCGCTACGCATCAACACCAGCCTCTTCAACCGCAGTCACCACCGCACCGACCGCGACCGCGAGGACTCCATCAGCAATGCCAGCACCGCCACCTCGGCCTCGAGCTACGACCCCTCGGACTCCGAATTCACTGGTAGCGAGTCACAGTCGCAGTCCCGTCCGCGCCGCGTCCGCCGCGATACAGACGCCCAGCTCCGGCCACACAGGGAGATCTGGACGGGCGATCTGAGCAGCGTCATCGGTCTGCAGAAACGGGGGCTTCGCGGACTTATGGAGGGGCGAAGGCTGATGAAAGAACGCAATGCCAAACCCGGCAGCTCGGGCGGTTTGACGTCTCTCCCTGCGACTGCTGTAGATCAGAATGCCGCGTCTGGGGTATAGGACGGATTCCTTCTACCGTCGTGTTCTTTTTTTGTATGTGCGACGGGATCGAGTACAAGTATATAGAATTCATTTTGCCCTTGTCCACATCTAGATAGGTGGATTCGTTTCTCTTGTTAATTCTGACTTGACTTGAGGTCATTGATGGCCGGTTCGGTCTACTAACGTATGGAGGGCACATGCGGTGTTATCTCCCACTCCGTTTTGAACAGGAAGTGCATAATAATCCTAACCCTCTATCACCTCACGATGTCAATTGCATGCTAGAAACAGATATGAACATGGAGCTATGAAATAAGACAGCCTCCACCAATCCTTTATGTAAATTTCAGGGACAAGGAAATACAAATACAGGACTTTGTGCTAGATCGTCAATAATGAAGGCGAAAAGAAAGGAAGACAGTCATCAGTCATCATTGCCTTGAAAAGGACATTGGTGAACTCGAAAGAATCCACGCTTCCCAGAGGAAGATCTGTTCACGCTTGACTGCGAGTCCGTCGTCCCCGAGGTCGTCGACAGTCAGAGTGCGCAGCTTTTGCATGGTCGCCTTTGGTATTGATCTCGCCGAGGTGCCTCGCGGAGCTAATGACATGTAATCTTCGTCAAAGGCGACTGGCTGGGGAGGGCCAGAAGGCAAGTTGGTCACGATTGAGAGCGCTGGAATGGCCTCTATAATGCTAACGACAGTACCGTTGCCGTTACTATAGCTGCTATTGCTACCGTTCGTGTGGTCGGCGGGTTGTGTTCGTCTGACGTAGTTGATTTCATGCAGGTCTATACGTTCCAATTGCTCCGTCTCTTCGCGGAGGCAGGCTAACACGTCCCGCCAGCGTCCTTCCCGAAGGTGCACATTGATGAGCCTGATGTCGCGAATCTGTCGCTTGTGTTGAAGAACTATTGTGAGAATATCGTCTGCATCCAGGCACCAACCCTGCAGGCTAACAGTTTGGAGCCGTTTCCATTGGACGCGATAAAACATCTGTTTTACCGGGAGAAATACAGATCCATTGCCAGGAACTCCGAAATGGACCGCAGTCAGATTTCGAGCCGCCAGGAAAAAATCATGGAAGACGCTAGACAGCTTTGACATCGTTGTGGCCATCCCGGAGTACGACTGGAAGGTAATATCCAGACTCAGCAATTGTGCTCCCAAGGCAGAAAACATCATGGGAGGAGCGTGCAGTAGCCTGATCATAGAATCGGAACTCATTTGTGGCCCAACAAAGCGAAGGGAGTTACAACTTGATTCCAGAAGAGAAATTGCCAGATTTTTGACTGCTCGAGTGCAAGCGGGCTCCCATTCCAGCATGGCTGATCGCTCCAGCGAGCGCCCTTGAATGTGTCCCATCAATGTCTCATCCGCCTCGTCTTGTAATCTCAGTAGTTTGACTTGCTGAAGACCCGAAAACGAAGCTATTGCACGCCGCAGCAAGAGAAGATCCTGGTTCTCTTGGACGATCTGCTGTTGGTCCTGCAACCGAAGCTTGATTGTGTTGAATAGTGAAGGATCGGTCTTTTCTATTTCAGTCAGAATTGACGGCCAGCCTGGAAACTATCAGCATCCTTCAATACTTGTTGGCGTCGAAGAATCTTCAGTTACTGTACCGTTTTCTGAATAGAATGGTCGCACCATGTAAGTGAAATACCTCACATGACAGGCTAGTTGCATGGTCAAGAACTCTTCCAATCGTCCAAATTCATTCCGCGAAAATCGCAGGACCAATCGACGGAATTTCCTTGGGGCGCCGATTCGCCTGAATCTCTTGCATACAAGTCTGAATCGGTCCAAGTTGGATTTCTCTCCATACAGATGAATGCGTGCACCATCAGTGCATTGTGACATATGCTGTGAGATCGTCGGAGAGGCTCCATTTATCGGAGGATCCAACTCCAAGACGAACGAGAGTATTTCACTGAGTAATTCGTCCGCCAAGTCGCAAATATGTCGCGGATTGTTCATGCTGTTCGCACAAGGAGGCAGCCGCATATTCGGCTGCTGTGACCAGTCGCAGCGACATTGAAATCAAACCTAGTATGAGATGAGTTGCAAGCAGCTGCGCAACTTGGTCAATAACGCGCGAAGAGTCAGCATTGGGGTCGACTTGGATATATATATTGGGAATAACAAAAGAGTCCAAGATCAGGGAAGAGGAAGGACCAGCGAGAAAGACGCCAACGATAAAAAGAAAAAAAAAAGCAACCAAAAGAAGTAAAGGTGACGAGGGAAGGAATGCATGCCTCTCTTGCAGTGTCAGTCTTGTCTAGGCTGGAGAACAGACAGACGCCGCAGATGCCACTGCGTGCATGCAGCAAGTTGACATGTCTGACGAGGGTTTGAGCAATCCACCCAGACTACCAGCCCGTTCGACCGGGATCATCGTCAACAACTAGTGACACTTATGATGGACGTCTACCCTGCATGCCCTTCTGCCATCAAAATTTCCCGGTTCTCGAGGACGACTGGATATTGGTTCGCTGACTGGCACACAGCAGTCACATGATTGAAAGAGCATGCGGTTATCCAGCGCGAACCTGCAGGAGATATGGCAGAGATGGAGGACGAGTGGCTGGGAGTCGAGAGGAAAACCGGGTGAGTTGGCAGGACTAAAAGAAGTCCAGGAGGGGAAGAAGAAGACGGAAGTGATCATAAGAATGATGATTGATCCGATGATGCGACAGCAGAAACAGCCGGCCGAGTCAGGATCTCTGCTAAGGCCGTCATCGACCTTAGTCCAACCCTGTGCTGCAGACGCCCACCCCCGCCCCTGAGAGCAGAAAACGAATCATGGTGCTATCAGCTGCAGGTGTGGATTGTTTCTGTGGCAGGCGCAAAAATCAGCCTGACGATTCTCTGACTTTATTAGTCCTGGAAGCGCGTCTAGGGGAAACAACATGGCCGATTTCATGCATCAGAACGGGGTTATGGTGGGACAATGCCATCGCTGTCCTCCCTAATCCTGACGAAGCCGCTGAACCTCGCATCACAAGAAAAGGGGCAAAGAATCCTTATCAGCCACTCGATTTCCTTCGGAAAATAGACTCTCACATTCAAAGTCTTTGTTTGGGATCCCTCCATCTATGCTACAGAATGAATCAAGGAGAGATATCGTCAAACGGCCAGGACGACCGTTCCTCTTTACCCCAGCAAGCATGGGGGAAGGCACTAAGGCAGATAGGCATTCACACACCCAGGCACCATGTGAGCCATATTGATCAGGATTGCTTTTTCCATGGTCCATAGGACATGGACATTGTCGGGTGCTTATCTACGAAATTCAGGTTTCCAGTTTAAGAGCACCGCTCGTCATTTGTCCTTCGAAACGTCCTCGTCTCTGACGGTCATGGAAGCAGGATATTCAGTCCGAGTAGGCTCTTAACCTAACTAATCTAGTCACTGAGCCGTGGCCATTTCCATACGACGCCGTCTGATATCTGTACTGCTTATTTTCGACGCAAAGCTTTCGCCATCGGTTGTGGGAACCTCCCCCGAATGTAAGACATCTATCTCGAAGACATCGAGGCTCTTCCAGCCCTTCTTCGCTCGCTCATCATTGACAGCTGCGCCTCCCGAGCGAGTTTCGGCGGACACCACGAGAGCATCGATGCTTTCATCGGTGATGGTCGGTCCAAACGGGTCCGTGATTTGTACCAATTTCAGCGTCAATCCGCAACGGACCTTCATTAGCACATAATGGCCGTTGGGACCCGGCTGTGATACCCGCTCAATGCGCGGTGCACTTCTGTCTGGAAGGCTGAAATCCATAATCGCCATAAGAAAGGACGAGGTGCTCTGACATCGGTCATCCCAGCTCTCCAGAAATTCAGCATACTTTTTGTTCTTTAATAATGCATCTCCTGTGACACCCACAGTCAGGTGTCGCTCAGGGATCGGGTCGAACTCTTCCACAGGTTCCAAAGCCAACGCAGTGGCAGTGAGGAGAAGTTTGTGTCCAATATGAAAGTGATCAAATGTGCCCCCTACGGCAACTGAATAATGCGGCGATTGAGCCTTAAGTTCGGGAACTATCAATGTCTTGGGAGAGGGCCAGCTGGGTTGGTTCGAGAGTGAAATCAAAGATCCAGCGTTCGGGTCTTTGTTCTTCGAATAGATACTATCAAACGCTGTTGCTAGGTGCTGGCCTGCTTCGTTTCCTGGATAGTAAATCCAGTCCCATAGTCGCGAAGAATTTGCCAGCGATTGCAAATTGAGGATTGGTCCATGTCGTGGAGTCTGACGATCCTCTGCCGAGGCTGTGGGGAAATCAACAAAGATTACCCGAGCATCAATGCCACCAGGGGCATCCAGCTCAATGCTGTGCTCGGCGCTGACGATTCCAATCAGCCTGTAGATATTTGCCAGGTAATGTTGGAGACTTGGGAAAATCTTCGCCCGAGGTTGAGAGCTTCGTGAGAGCAGACCTGGTATGGAAATAGCAATGTCTAGAATTGCAATGCTATTGACGCCATTAAGCGTCTTGCAGAGTTTGGAAAAAACAGTAGACAAGGTCGGTTCATAAGCATCTTTGAAATGTTCAAACTTGACAGCCGGGGGAGGAGGGAGAAGAAGCAGAGCTGCAATCTCCTGGGGACCGTCATCGGAAGACATTGTGAAGGTGATTGCGGGGGGTTTTAGACGAGGGGAAGATCGCAAAAGGTTGACGGAGATACGGCGGCAGATGATACACACTAGGCGATTATATATGCTGAGAAATTCAACTGAACATTTTGGAATAGACTTGTTGAACCAGCGAATAGCAGAGAATCAAAAGACAGGTACGCAAACCCTGTGTTACCTCCGCAGAGAAGTATGGCCGTCGGTCATGTCGTCGAGGGAGACTCAACTCATCATCACGGCTGACTCAGCAGCACGAGACTCCCCCAGCGACTCTTGTGTGTCTCATCCTCGACCTGTTGCTGCCCAGCCGTTGCCATTCGGCTTTTCTTTACGGTCCTTTTGGGTTTCTTCGTAAACTCCATGATGTGCTTGTGAAACACTACCAAGGTGATTATTCTCTGATATGATCCCATACTGCAACACACAGGCTTGGTGCGGTCGGAGCTCCATACTCCTACCTGTACATGTCTCTCTCTCCCTCTCCTTACGGTAAAGTCATCTACTTACCGTGCTCTCAGAACTAGTCACCGGTGAGAAACTAGCGGGAGCTTTGGTTGTAGCGCAGGGAACGCTGCGTACCGAGAAAGACGTTCTTCTCGGGTTCCTTAACCACTGAGGTGCAACAGCATGTCGAACCCCGCGCAACCCTACGAGTCCTCTCGACGGACGACCGTCTATAACCGACAGCCAGAGGAGCTTCATATCCCGTCCGGGGCGCAGACTAATTCAAGTCTGCAGCGCCAATCGATGTCGCACGAATTATCGACGGCTACTGAGCCCCCAATGAACAATCTCCCTTCCATCAGCGTCCAGCCTTCGAGCGCCCAACCAAGTCACTATGGGGCTGGTACCAGCAGTGGCAGCGGTACTCTCCCAGGAGCACTTCAACCAGGGAACGTGAATCGTCCTCCAGCAGTGTCTATGAACACAGCGCCTTCTGCGCTCCCAACGCTTACTCAACTATCTACCCAGCTGCAACCGCAGGCATCGCAACAGCCACAACAGCAACAGCCTCCGACGACCCCCCGTTCGGGCATGGTCAATTCGCACGGTCATTCGAGATCCAGTCCTTCGAACCTCGAGCAACCCAAATATAGACCGCACGGAGTGACAGAGAATTCGAGATATGGATCATCACCTGGTGCGGGTTTCCAGCCTCATACTCCGCAAGGCGCGAAATACTCCCCGCTTGGCTTGGCCGATATACGTCCGTCGGGAGATCTTCTGAGTGACGCACTCCATAGTCCGAGCATGCCCCCAATTAATGGAGATACTCAGGTCCCAACGAATAGCAACTACATCGCTCCTTGGCCCATATATGCGATGGATTGGTGTAAATGGCCAATTTCAGGAAGCTCGGGTTCCTTTGGCGGCAAGATCGCACTAGGAAGCTACTTGGAAGATAACCACAACTATGTAGGGACACATCCTACATGCTTCATTATCGTTTGGGTTCATTCAAATTGCTGACTCGAATCCAGATACAAATCATTGATACCCATTTGACGCAACCAGACCCGGATACACCAGATGTCGCGCCGGGAGACATGAAAATAGAGTATGTCAAAACCGCGGAAGCCACACATTCTTATCCCGTCACGAGGATCCTCTGGGAGCCGCCGTCGTCTCAGAAACAATCGACCGACCTACTTGCGACGTCCGGCGACCACCTACGCCTGTGGTCATTACCCACCACCCAGCCCTTGCATAGCTCCAACTCGATTACACGTCCTGCAAATCAGCGGGATCCCCCGGCTGCCAAGCTTTCTCCCTTAGCATTGCTATCGAATTCAAAGTCTCCCGAACATACTGCCCCGATCACCTCACTTGATTGGAATACGATATCTCCCAGCTTGATCATCACCTCGAGCATCGACACGACATGCACAATCTGGGACATTCCTACGCTCACAGCAAAAACACAGCTAATCGCACACGACAAGGAGGTATATGACGTTCGATTCTGTGCGAATAGCGTCGACGTCTTTGTTAGCTGCGGCGCTGATGGTAGTGTGCGCATGTTCGATTTGCGTAGCCTGGAGCACAGCACAATCATCTACGAGCCGACTGAGAAGAATGAGAAATGTATTGTCCACCACTTTATCCTGTGTTGAGTCTTGCTGACACAAGTCTTCCCTAGTAATGAGCCCTGGAAACGGTAGCCCTTCAGCTCCATCCAATTCCGTCTGGCCCCCGCCACTTTTGCGTATCGCAGGTGTGTATTTCTAGTCGCATGCATGGCCAGACATTACCTAACACAGTTGCAGCATCGCCACACGACGCTCACCTCCTAGCAACATTCTCCCAAGACTCCAACATCGTCCGCGTACTCGATGTCCGGCAGCCGGGCCAAGCCATCCTCGAGCTCAAAGGCCACTCCGCAGCAATCAACTGCGTCGAATGGTCCCCCAACAGACGGGGTGTCCTCGCCTCCGGCGCAGACGACTGCTTCGTCCTCCTGTGGGATCTGATCAACCAGCACAATGCCGCACCTGTGCCCCCCGTCGTGCACAACCCAGCCACGCCGTCAACGACTTCCGAACGAGGGCCAGCTGCGGCCTGGCAGTGCGATTATGAAATCTCAAACCTAAGCTGGTCGCCTCAGGGAGGGACGACCGGTTCCAGCCACCCAAGGGATTGGTTAGGGGTTTGTGGAGGCCGAGGCGTGTGGGGAGTTGCATTATGAGATGGAGACGGATATGCGGTCTTTTGCTTCTAGACAACTTCTATTTATTCCCCTTTTGTTCCTTTTTCCTCACTTATCATCTTTCTTGAGTCTTGGTTTGCTTTGCTTATCATTCTAGCCGACGGGTGATGAAAAATGAAGTCATGCATGCCGGTATATGGAGCGAACTGGACGAGTGATGATTGAACGATTGACTGAATTGAATCAGAGAAAACCTACAGTGCTTGACTATGACAGGGCGAGCGCTCACGTGTGGCAAAATTCAAGAAGGTATATAGAGATTCCTCCAATCTAAGTCTATTTACTTCTACTCCAGGTAGGTATGTAATATGTACAACGCAAACGGGAAAAGACAGAGCAACGGGTTTGCGAATTGAAAATGCCATCGCCACTAACGCCCAACACCGATTAGTGACTAGTTTGGGAGACGGCATTAACGCGCTTAGTGAATATGTGCGTTCGGCGTTGAATTCTACCGCCCGGTCATCTTGACAAGCACTTTATCCTCCACCCACCGGGCGAATTTGACGCTGGGAATGTCGACGGCGCGCCAGAAGACGTCGCCCGCCCAGAGGGAAACGGGCAAGCAAATGAGCCACCCGATCAAGAAACCCAGGCAGTACTGGAAATCCGTCTCCTTGCCAGTGATTTTCCAGATATTCGGCATAAGCGAGTAACCCAGAGAATGCAGGATAGGGCCATGGACGATGTAGAAGGCAAAAGAGATTTTGCCCAGATATTGCGACAGTGGGTTGACGAAGAGCTTCTGGATATCCTTGGAGTGGTTTACGCTGAAGACGATCAGGACAGCACCGAGCGTCTGCGGGAAGCGGTGGGGTTCGGGGTAGGTCTTGGGGGTGATTCTCCAAGTCCACATGTAGAAGGGAGTCCACTTGTAGCCTGTGTTCGGAGCGGAGCCGAGATAGAGGCCGAAGATGAAGAGCGCAATCCAGAATTTGCGGCTTGAGAGGCGGGAGAGGGTGGAACGGGTGCGGTGCATGAGATTTTCGTCTGCGGACGGGCGCTCCCATGTACCGTTGATCAGATCGGCTTCAGCCATGAGCATGCCGGACAGGAACAGAACGACGTCCCAACGGCCCCAACGCATACAGAACCAGACTAGGCCGCTAACCAGGGAGAGGCGAGCAACGGCTGTAACGCGCGAGGTTGCGATGATGGTGAGGAATAGGACTATTGAACACCGGAACTCCACTGGAATCGTCCACAGGTGTGGGTTGTAATAGTTGTAGTAGAGCGCCCAGTTCCAGGGATCCATGAGGTGAACCACCGTGAGGTACATGTCCCAGAATTGCTTGGTAAAGGACTTCATCAGAGGAGGATGCTGCTCGTTCGTGCCGAGGATGGTGTGTCCTTCTTGGACGACTTTCAGCGAGTAGTTGTAGACGCCGAGACGCACGGCAACAAAGACCAGAACGATACCGACAACGGAGGGCATGTACAGCCGGAGACCGCGACGAAAGGTCGAGGACGCTAAAGTAGCCAATGTTTGCTCCCAGGAGCGAGTGCGGATCATCTTCAGAGGCTTGTAGGAAAGCACATATCCCGAAATCACAAAGAAGATAGCAACCATGATGTGGCCGGAGACAAGGAGGTGAACGATGGGAAGGTGAAGGATCCCATAGTTCTCGTTATTGAAACCCCACCCCACTGCGACTTTCCATGTGTATGTGAAGAGGAAATGGAAATTGAAGACCAGCAGACAGGCCCAGCCTCTCAAGCCATCCAGCGCCGCGATCGCATGGAGTTTCGTGGACTGGGGAGGCTCCCCACCCACCAGATGTTGCAGATAGCTCGGTGTGAGCGCGATGCCTAATCTTTTAAGCCAACGTTCTAAATATTCCTGCCAGTGATCTGTGACGTGTTGTACGTGTGAAGACAGCCGATCAGGACGTGCGAGCACATGAGAGGGGGTGTAGTCGGATAGATTCGTCCAGTTGAAGGATGACTTGCTTCCATAGGGGCCTGACTCTAGGTCATTGAGGGGTATATCATGGATCGCAGGAGCAGTCCGAGTGTCTTTGTCAGCGAGCGACATGTCGTGAGGGCGTCTGGATCAGGTATGAGTTTGTGCGAAGGCGTTGGCGAGAGCCAGCACTCCATATACTGGTATAAACGGGATCTGATTGCGCAATCAGATTGACAAGGCGATTCAAAACGATCCAGTCGTTTGAAAAATCAGGGAACAATGTTCGGACAAAGTCGTCCGCCTAAGATATTCAATAATACGCGAAAAGGGGTATATTCAAGACGCAGGTGTGTTCCTTCAAGGGTCCATCAATCGACAAGGCGCTAGAGCAAACCGGTAGACATTCTGAGGACAAAACCTCCACTGTTAGACTCGTCGCATGATCTCTGAAATTAGAGGTTCAAGAGGCTCTCACCTGTTGTGGATCACCGATATAACATGAAAAAGAAAGAAAGAAAGCGAGGAAAAAGGAACGACTGAGTATAGAGAGGGAGATTGATGGCAAAAGATGTGTTGGAGTAGAGGAGTGAGAAGGAAGAGGTCAAATCAGACACAGCCTCATGTTTCCGTTATCAACTGGCGCCGATCACCAATCCTGTCCGAAGTCGACAAAACATCTATCTCTCTATTTGATGCTGGTGGTATTCTTGAGATGATGGTTTTGACTATGCATAAATATCTCTACTGTTTGTGAAAGTGATAATCCAGTTAGCATCCCAAGACTGTGGAAGCTCTCTTGAATTGGCTCTATATAGTTAATAGCTCTACTATGACCTCAGCTTTGATTCACGGTGAGGGCACACGGAGAACGAAGATTTAATGGAGTTTCCCGTGCATTGATAAATCTACCTCGACACCTTCAAGCATTGCTTAGAGAGAATCAAGTAGATAGTAAGTCGGGAGATGCGATGGCTGTCGTTGTCCATCGCTCTCCTAGCAGCAGGGTCAACCAAACCAGCCAAACTTTTTGGCTTCTCCAAATTCTCTCCGTCTCATCCACTCTATCTCTACGGAGTATCTCCATCTCCATCTCCATCGTCATCGCACATTTGTTGCCCGAATTTATCCTCAACATCGAATCGAACCGTCCCTAGGAAAGACACCAGAGTTATTCCTTTATTTTCATCCCTATCCCCCCTCTCAATTCTTCCTTTCTTTTCTCCCTCTTCTCTCCTCTCCTTTCCTTTCGAAGAAAAAGAACAGTGGCCCCTCGACGCATCCCGTTGCGACGACGGAGCCCCTGTGCTTTTTTTTAATATAACTTTTTTAATCTGGATGTCTGGCTTGGTCATTTTATCTTCTTTACTTGCCCTTCTGTCGCTTTACTCTCCTCAGTGATTTCTGGTGAATAGTATCCATTATGGATTTGCGCACGATCATGAACACCGATGCCACTGGCACCGCCAATGCTGCCCCTGCTCCGTCGCAGCAACCGCTTCCTCGAACTGAATCCGTGTATCCTCCACGTCAACCGCAACAAGCCACCACATCGCCCTCATCCTCATCGCCTTCCCATCCTCCTGGATTCCAACAACAGCCCCCTCAGCCACCTCCATTGCAGAGGCCTCATGCGTCTCCAGAGCGATCGTCTTCCTATGGTTCAATACAATCGCCTTTTCAGTATCATTCGGCCTCTGCGCTGAGTGCCGGTGCGCGATCCCAACGAGGCCAGAGTCCGCCCACTTCAGCTCTTCCATTTGCTTCCTCCGGCTCGCGTGACTCCTATTCTGCGTCCGCCAGTTATAACGCGGCTGCACCATTGGCCTCTCCATACACGCCGCAACCCGCGAGTTCTGCGGGCCCTTTCCTGGAACAGCAACAGCAGCAGTCGTATTTCGCGCAGCAGCGATCGCAGTCCATTCAGTCTGTCCTTTCCCCTCCATCCGCGACCAACCACTCATTCCCACCCAGAGAAAGTCCTTCGGCTGCTTCGCAGTCGCATCCATCACAACTGTTCTCACCCCCCGCGCATGGGTCGTTGCCCGGCACTCCTCGAGCATCCGCTGCCACAGCTCTACCTCGTCAAACAACGCCGTCCACACGTCCTCAATCCTCCGGTCATGACTCTCAATCACATCAGGGCTCAAGTCCTTGGGTTGGCCCGGATTCTCAAGTCCATATGTCTCCAACTTCGATGCCAAGAGCTTCGCGTCAGAATTCGAGACACCGGGAGCAGACACCGCGACAATTTCCTCCAGGGGTTGACAGGCGAGCATCGGATGAAAGCGTGAGCCCCAAAACTGCCTATCCTGCAGCATCCCGACAAGGAAGCATGACCTCAACTTCCGAACGGAGGTTTGCAGCGCAGAGCAGTCGCACTGGGGACGGCGCAACGAGGGAGAACTCCGCAGCATCAGTAATGAATCTGTCGCAATCGCCCGTTGCTCCTGTGGACGCTCATACCGCGCCAACGACGTCTCAAATAAACAGCTCACCTTCATCCCAGTCGTTCAAGCCCAACGAATTCCTCACCGGAGACGCATTTCCGACCAAGATGGATGTTGCTCCCGACTTCAGACCCGATTCGAGTGACCGTCCTGCGAAGCGGAGGAGAAGACGATATGTTGAGCCCCCAATCTTCGCTCAGCGGTCTGTTCGCACCAAAGGACGATGCCCGATGATTCCAAACCCGCACCCACCGATTCCGAAACATCTCAGAGACTCGGCCCAGAATCCCTTCGAAGCACGCCGACAGTCAACTCCTTCACAAGCGCCAGCCGCCGCAATAGTGCCCTCGACCGCCGCAACAGCTGTGACCAAGTCGGAACCCCCACCTGTCAACGGCCCTCCAGTAGCCCGGTCAACCCCGGCCCCGGCCGCTCCAGCTCTCCCAGCAGGTAGCTTAGGGCCTTGGGAACCTTCGATCACCGGGTTCATACCTCACGAGGAGATTACCAAGCTTGTGTGCGACTTTTTGTTCCAGCACGTAGTGCTCAGGAACGATGCTACTGCTGCACCCGCTGGCACAGCTGCGGCAGGCCTGGGGGCCATCATCGAAGTGGAAGCTAAATTAGGGCACATTATCGACATGGATCGCGGCGAGAGGCTCAGCCTACCGATTTTAACTGAAAGCGTCATTAACAAGGAAAACCCTCGTTTTCGGACCGCATTCGAAAGTTCCATGACACTTGTGAGTACCATTTCTACGTCTATCCTGAGCCGTTTAATTAACAAGTATTTCAGTCACAACATCGGGCAATGAACAACTTCCTCAACGAGGCCGTGAAAGCATCTATGCCTCAAACAAATCAAGGTCGAATTCCCCTATCCTACGCTCACAAAAAAGAGCGGGACACCTTCTATGAAATTTCCCCGTCCGAGCTTCCGCCGGTCATCAGACAGAACCTCAATCCCCGTCACAAACCAAAGGTCCGCGTCACAGTCGACCAGCGCACTGGCGAGGTCCTCGCTAAGATCGTCAAATGCCGCATCGCCGACATGGACGTGCACAGTCCGCGCACAAGCGTAGATTGGCGAGTCAGCGTCAACCTCGAAATGAGCTACGAAGGCGACGTCAGTCACCTCCCCATGGTAGACAGCCGAGGCGGCCGCGGCGGAGATAGAAACAAAGACCGCATGAGCTACAGACATTTGGCATACCAGATCGACCTGACCCAGGTTGCCAAATCAGAGGTGAGCCTTTTTTTTTCCTGGAGTCTCTCCCCTACTTCTGAACCAGTTCTGACGATGACCCAGCCCTCTAGCAAAGGCGACTTCGAACACGAACTCGAGATCGAGGCCTCCGCCGCTGAGATCCGTCGTCAGGGCCAGCTAGCCATGGCCGGCGACCCGCAGAACCAATACGAAGACCTAGTCAAGGGATTTGTGGATAACATCCGCCTGCTGGCGCGTGCGGTGCCGCCTCCTTCCTGATATTCCATGCTAGGTGACAGGCTTCAAAGCCCCGTATCATCGCTACTGCACCCTCTCTTCCAGGTAGAAGAAATTCAGACTACTACTGCTCATCCTCCTCGGATGGAATTGCCTTAACCTTCTTGACTGTGTTAATACATATCCGTTCTAGTTTTATTTTTAATGGTCAGGTCGTCGAGTGACGGAAAGAGCCTGGAATCGTGACACGATATGACTGATATGACATGTCGAATATTCATTGCGTTTGCGACTTCATTCAAGACCAGCATATAGATCGAGGCCCTTACTGTTGATTACAATCCATCTTCAAGTTGACAAGGTGTACATGATATTGAGTCCGCCGTGTATATGTCTAGAATACAACTATCGAAGTATGAAGTGAACCGACTGACCACGCATTATACATTGTCCATCTGTATTTCGGAAAGATAAGCTAAAAAACCGGCAACGTAAAATACATTCCAAAAGATTCGCCTTTTTTGTGCGCCGCAATCATGCTCAAGGACTGGGTGTTCCTTCGTCATAGCGAGGCCCGCCATCCTCTCCGTCTCCATATGCTCCTGCGCCCGGGGTCGCGGCCGCACCACCCATCGCCGGCGTGGGTGCATCGTACGGACGACCTGAGAGGCCGCCAGGGGTCGGTGCATTGAACACCCCCGGTGTCGGGGCGCTGTCAGCCCAGGCTCCAGGCGTAGGTGCGGAGGCCCCGGGGGTTGGTGCGGTATATGCCCCTGGGGTGGGAGCAGAATAGGCTCCACCAGGAGTGGGAGCGTCGTAGCCGCGAGAATCTCTATTCACGCTTCCTGCCGAGGAGTTTGCAGACCAGGCCGGCGTGCGGCCGCCGGCGTTGGCGCCTCCCCAAGCTGGCGTTCGTGAGCCTGCCGCGAATGCATCAAAGCCGCTCGATCCAGAGCCGGAGTCGTAGGGTGTTCGTGCGCCGGCGTTCCAGGCTGGTGTGCGTGAGCCAGCGCCTCCGTATGCGGTCCGACTCCCATCGTAAGGGTTCGATGTGCGCGATCCGTCCATCTTCCATGCTGGTGTGCGAGAACCGCTGATGCCTGCCCAAGCGGGTGCTAGATACCAGTTAACCTCAGATCTTCCACCATAAACGGTTGTAAAATAGACACTTACTTCGAGCCGAGGATGCACCACCCCAAGCAGGCGTTCTGGATGAATCTGCCGCTGCCATAGGCGTACGTCCGCCTGCCCATCCGGATGGCGGCGCTGCGGAAGCACCATATGGCACACGCTGTCCTCCCTTTCGAGACATATCCAGCGTTTGGCCGGTGACAGGATCCTTGACGAGGAGTACGTCTTTGGGAATCGTCACTAATTTATTTCTCGAGTGAAGCTCCACACGTGCTTGTACATCTGTCGAATCCTTCACAATACCGACTAGACCCTTGTACGGCCCCTTACGCACTTGAACGGTCTTGCCAATCAACCGGTCACGGCCGAAACTTTTGGGAGGACCCATTGAAGCACCAGGGATGCCGTTTCTCATGAGAGCCGGATTCATCTTGGTGAGGTCAGGCCCGGTGGATCTGCCACCCTTGGCCGACACAGTGACAACATTGGTCGTACGGACAACAACGATCCCTGAATTCTCTGCTTGTGCTTTGTTGTGCAAGAACAGGAACGAGCGGTAAATGTGAAGAATGACGCCGCTTCTCTGGTCTCCATACAATTCCCGCACAGTATCGCCGATTCGAATTTCAGCACCATTGCGATCGGTGGCCACCGCATCCCGACGTGGCGTAATCTTGTTTGCGACCTGTGACGGGAGAACAGTTCGAATAGACCCGTTCTGGTCTAGAACCCTCAACGACTCACGATCGACCTTGACAACGCAAGCAACAGTGGAGGCACTGGGACAAGATCAGCAAACCAAGAACATACTAACCCAGCAAGAGAGAACTTACTCTAGTTGAACGAGGTCATGCACATCAAACATGCCCAACTTCCCATCGACACCAGTCTCGGCAGAGAGCCTGAGATCCTTGCTGAAGACTGTAATTTCCTGCATGCTCATATCACTGAGCAGCGTCACAGTATCGTCTTTGACCTGTACCACCATACCCAGCTCATCCTGATAGCGACTGCCCCCAATGACTTTGACGTGGTCACCTTCCCTGAAGCGCTTGCGAAGAGATTTGACTGGAGCTTCAATCATCTGTCCGGCCAAATCACCTTCTGTTACCTGCAAGGTAACGATGTCTCCGCGGGTTGAAGTTGTGCGACCGACCAAGCCCTGCTGCTCGCCTCGGAACACCTCGACTGGGTCACCTGGAAGATATGATTCCTCGGCCGTCGAGTTTTTGAGCGTCTCCGCAAGGGATGCAAGGTCCAAGTTTGAGGTACCGTCATCTGAGCCTCGAGCGAACATAGTAACCTCCTCGAGACGGGGGTTGACATTCTTTGTGATAAGATGCTGTACCTTCATGTCCTTGATCAAGAAACCGTCGATATATGTCTCACCAAGGTAGCTCCACGACTTTCCGCCCAAGCCAGACGTAGCTGACAAGTACTTTCCATGTCTTTTCTTCGCTTCAGCCTCGCTGAATAGTCGCTGAGGAGGCCGAGGCCCTCCTGAAGCCATGCCTGGACGTTTTCTCTTGATGTCGACTACAGGAGCTCCACTGTCCTCATTCAAACCATAATCTAACCGCGGGACCAAGCGCACTGTAACCTCCAAGCCGTTTGTGTCCACTTCTTCAATTTGGGCCAGATCACCCTGGTATTTGCCGCGCTTGATGCGAACCCATCCGCCAGGGTTGAGCTCCTCGGATTTCTGAACTCGAAGTAAATCGGGCATCTCTCGAACAGGAACCAGGATCATCTTTGTCCGCGGATAGACATTTGACATATCTTCCAGCGCCTCCATCACATCAGCCTGTCTGCGCGCTTCGACGTAGATGTAACCGCTCATGGCACCCCCACGCTCAAAGGCGGAAATGATCTTGATGGGTTTCCGAGAGCCGGGCGGCCGCTCTTCGATCCGCTTTTGGATCGCAAATACGACCTCACGCTCCTTGCCGGCTTTGCAACGGACACCCCAGATACTGGGATCATCAACACTGGGAAGAAGCAACCGCTTGGGCACGACAACGGAATCGGTAGCGGCGGCGCGGTTTCGACCATAACGTTCTTTGAGCAACTGCGCCTGCTTCTCAGCATCCATACTTGCCTCCAGCTCACGCTGGCGATCTAGTTGTCGGTGCCGGCGGTCGTCTGTCTCCGCGCCAGCGGGGAGCGCATCCAGATCGTCCGGGTGCATCTCTGCGCCAAACTCCATGTCGTCCTCCTCGTCTTCAGCTTCGTCTTCTTCTTCGTCGACACCGGCCTCCGTATCGATTAAAGCATGCACGCCGCCCAGTCTCCTTCTTCGCTTTCTCGGACGGCCCTGGTTGTAAGACAGCCAAAATTAGATCTGCCATCAGCTCAGTAAGGAAGCCACATCACTTACCGACGAGACGTCTTGCTCATCTTCGTCTTCATCTTCATCTTCGTCGTCCTCATCCTCCTCCTCCTCCTCGTCGTCGTCCTCATCATTTCCCCCTTCTTCCTCGTCTTCTCCCTCATCTCTCTCACCGCCAGCGTCGGCCTCATCCGCACCAATGTCTTCCTTTACGCCATCTTCACTCCCCTCCCGGTCGGCCCTCTCGGCCCTTTCGGGCTTAACATCGGCATGGTTGTCCTCGTCTTCCTCGTCATCACCAATCCGGCCGCGACTCGTAGACTATTCGTAAGAGTGTAAGCATTTGTACCGATCCCAGCCAGTTGATCTCCTATACACGTACCTGTGGCTTGACATCCTCCTCATCAGACTCTTCCGCAGGCGCCGGATTAAAGTCATCGTCCTCTTCGTCGGACCCAAAGTCCTCGTTCAGAAAATTCCGTGACATGTTGTAGGTCGTAACGTGGTTGTTGTATAATGAGACGGATTTGGTAAACTCGCTGGAATTTCACAATGAATGTCAGGAGCCCGTGGGTTGATCTCTGAGTTTGAGAATAAAACACAAGTGCACCCCGATCCTTTCTAAAGGCGAAACGATGAAATTCCGCTATCGAGCTCGAGGGGTGCGAAAAGATTCAAAGAGCACGCAGTTGCGACCGGGGGTTGTCGACAGGTTTAAATAGACAGGAGCCTAGCTGTCAACCGGGAAAATAGAACGTCCGACTGAAGTCCAAAGTACGAGAAGGACAACAATCAAAAGATCAGGGCGTCGAAGTTGGCCAGACAGTCGAGCGGCAACTTCTCCGTTCGTTCGCCGACTCCGCGACCGCGACGAATGGGGTTCCTGCCTTTCTGAGACGGAAAATCGGGTTGAAAAGGCGAAAGTATGCAAAGTATACAGCTGCTCACCAGAGTCTGATATTGCGAGCAGCTTTTCTCGTGAATCGGCAGGGAAAGAGTTGGGGTTGAGCTCCAAGGCGAGGGAACTTTGGTGGTGGCAGCGCCATAAGCAAAGGGTGGCTGCACTTGTGGTTTGAATGCGCACCCGGAGGCCCCTCTCGGAACTGAGCAACTAACTGAACAACACAACAGCAGTCGATTGATGCACATCAAATCTTCTGACTCTCGACTTCAAGATTTCTATAAACATTTAAGTCCTTATTTCTCTATGTCGATGCTGGCATAGTGCATTGTCCAAAAATATAACCCGATTTTTAAATTATCTCATCGGATCTTAGCTTGTCGTTGCAAAGGCTTTACTATCGAGCATCTTTGAATATGAAGAGTTCATGAGTACTTCCTCAGGCATGATATGGAAAGGTAGAATCAATTCCTGCTCCTATGGTACAAACACACCAAATGGAATGCGAATCAGGCGCAATGCGCAACTTGGAATAAGGGAAGTTAAAACAAAAGATGGATATCTATATACTCTGCAATCTCATATCCAAGAAAAACTAGAGCTTCATGCCGAACATCTGGTGCACCCGCAAGCTCTGGCGCACGCTGAGGTCCAACATGATTTCCTCGCTTCCACCAGGGA